TACCATGGGCCCGGAGCCATGGAAGGAGAGGCAAAGCATTGTCTGTTCTGCTTGTGCTTTGTCAAACCTCTGTCCCCGTTGTAGCGCACGCAAGATTCCCAGGGTGTTCTGACACTTTGTACAGTTAAACAATGATCAGTTTGCTAATCTCAGATCTGTCAGTGCTCTGTTGTTTTGGCAGAATCTCAAGGTTTGGTCTGTGTGGCTCCGCGAGACCGCCGAGCAGCTCAACAGCTCTCCCCTGTGGCGGAAAGCAATCCTTCAGGCCTGTCCTCTTTTTTTTTTCTGACTCCGGACTGGAGAGAAAACAAAGGCGAACCGCCGTCCCGCATCTCTGACTTTGACAAAATTAACTCTGACAGCGTTTCAGTCTCGGTTTTATGCTAACCTTCACACTCCTAACCAGCCTGTGGTAGTGCTGTATTAATTGAAGCTGCAGCCGCCATCGTTGTGCCGAGAGTCCCCTGCAGTGTCAGCCTTCCTGTTTGCTCAAGTTTCATTTGTGCATTAACCCCGTTACATGTGCTGACGTGTTTGTTTGTCTTGTTTATCTAACCGGCAAAACCAAGTTGGCAGGCAGGCTTGCTCATGATGTTGTCAAGGATTTTAGTTAGTTTAGGAGTTTTACAGTGCCAAAACACACCCCTACCATGATCACAGCTATTGGTTCCCATTTCCAACGCTAGACGGGGGTACCTTCTGTATGGATTTTGCACGTTCAAGCTAAGTTATACCGATTTGCTCCAGAAGTTCTACTTTCCTTGCACCTTTCAACCTATAACCCAAAGGAGGGCCACATATAAGAGGATGGCTCCATCCGTGACATTTTTTACTCGCAGTGTGCGTTCTGCTCACCATTCTCCTGCTTCAGTACTCCCAGTTCAGCGTCACTAGAGAACTAGAGGTTTACAGAGCTCTCCATCCCACTTCCTGGAAGAACACATGTCTTTTGTGCCCACTGCAAAGTCACACAGTCATCTGAATTATTTTCTAACTTAGATATACATATAGGATTTTTACACTTGATTACCCAAGACACTCATTTCATTAAAGGTACAGGTGCCTTTATATCACCTCCAAGAAGAAGTGCTACAATTATGCAGCTCATTAAATAATTAGACCAACTACATAACCGAGGATAAGGGTGGAACACAAACCAGAGGACACAAGACACCCTGGCTTTAGTCCAATGTACTGAATAAGCAAGTGGAAACTATGTGGAAGTCCATTTAAAACTGAAAACAGGAGGCACCTATTTACACAAAGGGCTGTGGGAGTGTGGAACAAACGGTTCTCAAGAAACAGCTGGGTGAGATGCCCAAATCAATCAATTACTAACTCCCAAACGAGAGGGGCCACACGGCTTCCCCTCCATTTGTAGCTGTTCTTACAAACAAGTATCCATGTGACTAAACCAGCAGCACCTCGGCAGTCAGCTGCAGCAGCTCGTTTGCATTCATTCCCCCTCAGCCAGGAGAGGCCAGATAATAATGTGTTCGTGTGCCTCTATTGGCATTTATATCAGATGTACATCACGGTAATTACCCCTTCCATCCGATCAGCCAGTCACATCGACAGGAGCAAATTAGCACCACATCCTCAGAGCGCCGGCGCCCGGTTCAGTGTCGCACGCGGGCTGTCTGCGAGGCCCGTCCTCAGGGACTCCTCACACACAGGCAGCCACAGGCAGCCAAGGTCACCCCGCGGGCACAGCTGACCGGTGGGGTTCCAGGCCCTACAGGACAGTGTGGCAGCTGCTCTGGCCGGGGCTGGCCAACTGCAGGTCTCAGACCCATCAGGCCGGGATGCTGGCAGCAGGGGTGGGGTGGAGGGATTCCGATCCTCCAAAAAAGCAGAGCCCTTAATGAAAGAGTCACTCTTGGCTCATCATATATACGCTTGTCTGCACAACTAATAAGGTTTTACTTTTCCACTACCTGAGCTTTTCTTTCTCCCAAATGCATCGTCAAAACGGTAGAAAACAAACTGTTTTTACAACCAGATCTCAGCTTCTGCAAAAAATACAAAGACCTTTCCAGACTTTCTCAGTGCTGAAGAAGATATCACAAACCTGTCAAAAACACGGCTTCGTACAGGTTTCACCGCGGCGAGCGCACACAGTCAGAAGCCATGTCTGAGCTGGTAAAAGTCTGCAAACCTGATGAAAATAAATATAAAAGCAGCTTGTTTGTATGCAAGCTGGTACAGTTCAGCAGGGTGGATTTGACAACTGCTGACACCTATATGGGCTGTAGGAAGTGAGCTTCATGCGCGGCCCCTCAGAATGCGCTGTGCTGGCCTGCACTTCTGGGCCCCTCTCAAGATCTCTTTGTGGGTCCCACCATATTCATCATAAGAGTTGAATTAAAGTACTAGGGATTCTTCCCAGTTTGTGCTGGTACAGAAACTTTCAGCATGGGGCTGAGTTGCAGAGAATAGAGAGGCTTTGATTTACAGATCCAGAGTCCTACAAGCTGGCAGTCCTGTTGATAAGATGGCATCTGCTTCTGCTCTGTGTTCCAAAACAAGGTTATGATTAGGATGAAGTGTTAATACCTCTTAAAATCCACTGATTTTATTAAATGAAGTTTTTTTTAATCAAAAGGTCAAATTAGGACATTAATCTATGCATAGTGTGCAACTTAATTCCACATACGTCATTTATAACTGTACAAGAAAACGCACTAAATAGAAAATTAAATGAGTTTTTCCCCTTTAATGAGGTAGGAAGGCCTTATTACTCATTTTAATTTTCTTCTAAGCTTGATTTTTTTTTTGCAAATAAAAACTCATTAGTTTCTTTGATCCAGGAAAAAAGACGTGGATCTTAGCAATTAAGGAAGGATTTATTGTGAAAATCCCAGACAGAAACCGACATCGGTTCTAATTATTGCCACAGTTTAAGGAGCTCCCAGGAACGAGCCTCATGGCAGAGTCTGGTTGGCTGGAGCACGTTGAGGGGGGTCTGAAGAGAGTGATGGCCCAGGCTCCCAGGCTGGGCAGGAATGAGCGTGGTACATGCTGTATCAACACCGCAGCAGTGCGGGACCAACTGCACACACTGCTCGGCCAGGATCAGGCTCCGTTTCTATTCCAGTGCCAGGCTTTCACCCTAACTACAGTATGTATCTCTAGACTCTGATAGCTGCGGCGATAACTCCAAACAAATCCCTTAAAAAAGGCAAGCAGAATAAATTGCTGTCTCGCCTCAAGATATGTCCTTAGAGCACTTTTAAATTTACTGACTCCTCGAAACTAGACGCACATTAAAAAAAACATTTGAAACAAGTTGAAGCTTGAGCTAATTAAGACTTTGCAACGTCTGTTCACAAATTGTACCAGAAGCTGGCTTTTTATAACGCATGTAGATAAAAAAAGAAAATATTATTTCAGGTCAACTCTTTGCGGTTTCCCAGAATCAGAACACCAAAGTTGTGGAGCGAGTAGAACAGGCAGTTTAAAACATTTCTATTTCCTCTGTTATCTCCATCTGCATATAGCTGATCTTCAGGCGAGCTGTAATTGTAGGTTATGCAAATGAAGCTTTCACTCCTTGTATAGAGGGTGCTGTGTCTTATCTCTTAATATTCAAGAAGAACTGCAATTAGGAAAGCAGCCGTGCTGTTTCTGATTGAAGTGTTTTTACAGGTAATTTCACGTTACTTAATCACACCTATAGGTCTGCAGGAAAGTTTCTCACTCTGTACTTTGCAGAATGTGTTGCTGACTCACTGCTACAGTTCCTGGTGCAGCAGCCCTAAACCATCCCCCCTGTGCCGTCTGTCTGTCTGTAGGGTGAAAGGGCAGCTCCAGTTCTCCTGTACAATCAGTCTTACTTTTCTCTAGTAAGCAGTCAGCTCAGCTGACCACCCATTGAACGATAAACAGGTATATCGTCAGTGCTAACCTAGTACCATACCAAAGGGAAGAAGGATCAGAAAAGCTCCCATGTAAGCATTCTTTCCCATATTCCACAAAGTAAAGTATGTACAGCACTGCTTCAGACTGCTCGAAGCAATTACTGAGCCATGGGCTCAGAATGAGCAAGAGTGAGGTGTTCAGCATTTTTAAAAAAAGGAAGTGGAAGGCGATGTTAGTAAACCAGTGCATCACTGACATTTTTTTATAAATATTAATTGGTCATTTTGCTTAAATTTTAATTTTAATCCCACATTGACATTCAAAGAATTACTCCATACACCTGCTATGCTGGGGCTTATTTAGACAAAACATAGTCTTTCAGGAAGACATACAGGTACTGGAACATTAAGACTCTTCCTTCATTAGATCTGCAGTTTTTCAGCTTTTTGATCTAAGGCAAGATTCTGGAGGTCTTTGCCCAGCCTTGGGATAAACACCATCACTCAGCATGGGGCAGGGGCTGATGTCCTGTCTCATCTCTGTATTGCAATGTCGAGACAAAGCAATTAAAAAGGCAAGCAAAGTGCTAGGCTATATAGATAAAAGCATATAATTTAAATCAAGGGATGTTATATTAGAATTAGTAATATGCACTAGTCAGGCCTCTTTTAGAATATGGGGTGCAAATGTGGTCACTACATTATAGGGGATTTAGTTCTGCTCTGGAGTCAGTCCGGGGAAGAGCAACCAGACGCATTCTGAGCCCTCAGGGAATGTCCAACACTGACAGGCTGAAGGAACCGATCCTTTTTAGTCTTGCATATAAAACCCGATACAAATATTCAAACACCTCAAAGGCACGGACAAAGTCAACCCAGCACACGTGTTAGGAATGAATGAAACTTGAACCACAGGACACCAAGCAAGTGGAAACTGTGTGGAGGTCCACTTAAAACTGCCAGCAGGAGGCACTGCTTTACCCAAAGGGCTGTGGGAGGGTGGAACAAGCTGCCCAGACATGCTGTTGAAGCCGAGACCCTAACCTCTTTCAAGAAACAGCTGGATGAGCCCTTTGGATTCCTCAGCTACTAACTACCGACGGCCTGCTCTCATCTGTAACATTCCCTGTGTTCTTACAGGCAAACAAGGGAACAGGAGACGCCCCCAGACTTCTTCTACTTCTCCGATTTTGAGAGGCACAACGCGGAGATCGCAGCTTTTCATCTGGATAGGTAAATGCCACAAGTGAACCTTTAAATGTCAGTCGAAATGCTAGACACCACACTGGTGTGGGGAATGTGGGTGTGCGTGCTGTATGTAAAAACAGAGTATGCTCATCTGGGAAAGGTCTGCCTATGCTAATGATAAGGAAACAATGGACATGTTTCAGTTTCTCTGAAAGCCGCCCTGCCCTGATTACAGTTAGATCCGTCCTGACTGCGGGAGGGCTGGGGGTGATGTTTCTCCCGCTGCACACTCATCTTCTTGTACTCATGTAAGGAAGATACAGAAAACTGAGGACTTTAGGATTCATTAGCTTTCATTACCATCTGTCTCGAACTTTGTGCGCCCTTCTCCTGTCACTCGTTGTGCAAGAACGTCGATTATAAATTGCTTGTTTTAGCGGATTTCATTGTGCAATGGCATTATTCATCATGACTGGGCCTCTATCCACAGCTCTGAATGTTGCAATTCAGAGAGTTACCGTGACTCAACTGCAACACAGGATGGTAGAAGATAGAAGAATTGCACCATCGTTCATGTGTTTGCAGGAATCTCAATGGAGGTGCAGACAAGAGCTTTAAATAGAGTATACTAACATATATATGGTATCTGTACCTATATACTGTATGTGCCTGTAATTTACAGAATGCAAAATGTAAAACCATTTTTTGTCACAAATGACCTGAAACTTGCATTTGCAACCTGTATATAATCATCTTTTTTAAAGTAGCGGTATTATTCTAACCATCTTTTGAAGCTGCACTAGAATCACATCTCTCATTATTCTGGACATTTTCACTCCTTCAGATAGCAGGACAGAAAATGAGTTTTTCTCTGAAACTCATTGCATTTACAGCTTGCTGCACATCTGTCCCGGATGAGGATAGTAAATAATTTATTCCTTTCTGGAGCATATCTGTGGGTAGTAAGAGGAAACCAATTGCACGCAAAGCTACTAATGTTTCTAAATATAAGGCAGTGTGGGTAACCCTTGGTTTCTGAGCTGTTTTAGCTCTGCTGTAAATTAAAGCCCTATCGCTTTAGCATGATGCCCTTTGGCTCCAGTGGAAAGCGGAATACACTCAGCATTAATTAGCCAATTGCCTTTATTTAAAGAAGGAAGTCCAAAAGCAGTGACCATATCTTGCCAGAGGGAGGAAAGCAGTGATGTAAGACAAGATTGTAGAAGAAATCTAACCCAGGACTTTCCCAAGCCTGTCAGCCATGGACTCAATAACCTCCCACACACACACTGGATCCTAAAGCCCAGGGATTCACGGGGGGGAAAATCAGCTCAATACAACACCTCTTTGTCACCTGCGTCAACATGACTCAGCATCTCTGTAGCCCCAGCTGCTGTAGTTTCAGCAGGGGATTAAAAAAAATCCATTTAAGGGTTTTCCAGGATTAATCTTTACAGACAGCATTCCACAGCACAGTGAAGCACACTGATAGCATGGAAGCACATGAATAAAATTAGCGTGGAGTGCTGTAGTAACAGCAGGTGGAGCACAGGTCTGAAAAAAGCACTCAGCCTAACACTGTGCAGAGCAGCACAAAAGAGAGCTCCTTGGGTCCTAAAACCTGCTTTACCGGCTGCCCACAGTATATATCCATCCCTGCCAATACCTTCCTTTACGAAGACCCTGTGGATCCTTTGTGTTTTCTGAAGTGTACGCACTCTCTACCACGGCCAAGCAAAGCACAGAACTGATCACAGAACTGGCCAGGAAGTTCTGTGCCAGTGTCCTGGTCAACCCGGCTGATGAGTGAGCTGCAGTCACCCAGCCAGTATGACTCTATCATGCAACGGGCACTGTTGAGGGATGCTGGCAAGTCTGAAGCGTCTGACGGCTGTAACGGGGCTAGTGGCTCCTCTGTGTCGCCACAGGTGTGGCCGGGCAGGCGCGATCTGCCAGACGGGCACTCCTAGGTCACTTCTCGCGCTTGGCCGGGTCTGGGCCAGGCGCTGCTCCTTGCTGGCTGCTGGTGGCCCTGGTGGAGCTGGCCCAGTGGAACAGGACAGATGGCCCCGAACAGCCTGGCAACTTCACACCGTAAGAACTCCTGCCAGCAGCTTTCACAGATCGTTCAGTGAGCCCTGGCGCCACTGCGGAGCAGTGAAGACTAGCGGACACGCACACAAGCATTCCCTGTTCACAAGCATGCACTCCTCACAACACATGTCACACTAATTCAGATTTCTCACTTAGGAACCCTTGACATCTTCTACAGGCATTTCACAATCTGTCATAATATCATCATTAATAATTAGGCGTGCAAATAGAGGCCACAATGTTTTCGGTGTTCCAGTAAATAATTAAACAGACCTGTACCAGCAAGCCTTAGTTACATCAAGCAGAATGTCAGTCTGGGCTTTCATGATGGTCCCTACAGAAAATTGAATCGTTCCCACTCGACAATGTTATCTTTTTATGGTATGGAAGTGAAAAGGACTTGGAGAGGTCCTTTCTTTCTCAGACACAAAGGGTGATGGGAATCCATACGCCAGCAGCATCGCAAAGACGGAAAAGGTGTCGTTTCCGAGACAGGAGCTCCCTCTGCTGGTCAAGACTGTTGTTGCTGTGTTCACGAATGTGTGACCCCCTGAGGATCTTTAATCGTTTTTAAACTGTACTTCTTACACTCCTATCCAATTGAAAGACATCCTATTATTAAAATTCATATGGAACAGCCCTCTTTGTAATTTAGAAGCAACCTCACGACCTCAGATCATTTCCCAAGTGCGCTGTGTCCAGCGGCCATCTGCACGGTCGCTCTGTATTCCTGTGCTTATGCCCATTTTGGAAGCTGTTTGTTCTGTCCTCGTGTGATCTCCCACCTCCTAAAATATCCCAAAGCAATGACGCATGCCGTACTCTTGTCTCCCAGTTTCATAAACCGCCTCATGGCTCATTCCCATTAAAATTACAGCTATGAGTTCGACCGGAGCTCCCAGGTCCTGATCCTGGGACGCAGGTGTGTCTGCAGGCTCCCCAGATCTTTCTAAAGCACCAGTATCTAAACAGCTGAGAGAAGCTTTAAAACCGGTGCAATCAAGCCAACAATGAGCTGATGTAGCTCGTAAAGAGCTGGACTGCAAATCCACAGACACGCCAGCCTGCTGGGAGCCGTAGTGGGGATCTCTGGGCTAGTCAAGGACTTTAATCCTTCAACCCCTGGTGGAAAGACGGAGGCTATCCCCAGAAGCATGTGCACGTTGGTCTTTGATGTACAGTGTTAATATTTGTATGTTTGTTTTATCTCAAAGATTCTAGCACTAGTTTAAAACCTAATGTGAGCAAAACACTCTGGGCGTGGTCCTTCTTTCCTGCTGCAGTGAGAGTGCTGTGGTTAAGAGACATGTTGCACATCATGAGTTTTGGTAATCTGCAGCTTCGGAAGGGAGCAAATTCCACATGCACAGTCCCTGTAATTAGTGGTTCAATATTTTTTGCATTTGTGTTTTTTTTTAAGCAACCACTTTGATTTCAATGCATTAATATAGAGTGGCTGAAATGGGACTTAGAAGAATAGGAACTGACTTTTTTCCCCAGATTACAATAATAAACGTATCTTTATAGCTGCCGTTGAAATGCTGTGGTTAGCTGTCTGTCTCTGCAACTGAAAGAAGCTGAAATGTTCAGCGCGTCTGCAGTGGAGGACATGAAAGCGATCTAGGGGAATTTTAAGCCAGTGTGTTAGGGCCCTCTTCAATAGTGATCCAGGGATTTGCAGTCTATCTCCACGCATTAACACGCTGCATTAAATATGTGCTAGAGTTTCTCACGTCTGGGATCTCGGGCTTCGGTCTAGAAATGCAGGTCCATGAGCAGAGCCGAGAGGCTGCTCTGACTGCAGCAGGTTTTACAGAGCGACGCAGGGGTGGCAGCAGTACACTGCTCAAGCGCGGACCTGCAGCTCGACTCCATTACCGCCAGTCACGACACCCTTCCTGCTCGGGGCTTCAAACCGGCGCCCTCTCCCTTTACTCCCACCAGGATCCTGGATTTCCGGAGAGTGCCGCCAGTAGCGGGGAGGCTGGTCAACATGACGAAGGAAATCCGGGACGTGACACGCGACAAGAAGCTGTGGAGAACGTTCTTCATCTCCCCAGGTACTGCGGGTCGGCAGGGCCGACCGCTCGGGGCGCAGGGGTGCGCCTGCTCTGCGGCGGGGGGGAGGTGTTTTCAAACAGAAAGAAAGGAAAAGGAGAAGGAAGGGAAAGGAGAGGAAAGCTGGTTTGGTGGAGCGGAGGACAAACGAGCCACTGCCTGACATTTGTTTTCCTGCTTCGCCCTCTCTTCAGCCAACAACATCTGCTTCTACGGCGAGTGCTCGTACTACTGCTCCACTGAGCACGCTCTGTGCGGCAAGCCTGACCAGATCGAGGGCTCTCTGGCCGCCTTCCTCCCGGATCTGGCCCTGGCCAAGCGCAAGACCTGGAGGAACCCCTGGCGCCGCTCCTACCACAAGCGCAAGAAGGCAGAGTGAGTGCCCATGGTGCCCGCCACCTGCCCGGCCCCCCAGCTACAGAGACAGCTGCTGCACTCTTCTTCACTGTCCAGAGCCTCACCGCCATGAGGTCCCCACCAGAACGCACTCGGCGTTCAAGGCGCTCGCTGTCAGAAACAACACAACGCTCAGCGGCTGCGGCCATCACCAGCCAAATCTCACATCCACGAAGATGATGACTGCGTGCTCACTCACACACACACACACACACACGGCGACACAAGCACACCCACAACGCAACATGTTACAGAATACCGGCCCTCTTCTTCTGAATTTATAGCTGAAAAATATCACGGAGGCAGATTATTAATCGCCACCTTGAATGTCTTATTAATGATAAGACTAAAGGCATTAAAAGAAAGTGCCATCAACAGAAAACACATATGAACTCCATTTAATTCTTTTTCTAATTTCTAACAGGACAAGAAGGAACTAGAGCACAAAGAGTTAGCAAGAACCCAGACTCACATTTGCTTAACCATTCATCTTAAGGCAATTGCTGACATATCACGCATATCGCACACAGCTGAGGTTAGAGAGGTTGCATAGGAGGGAAGGAAGGTTTTAGCGAGCCGTGATTCTCTGCAGACGGAAGGCGCTCAATGGCCAGAGTTCATCTCTCGGGGACCCAGGTGTGAATAGTGCCTGCGATACAGGAGCACAAAAAAACAAAACTCAGGTCATGAAGGGCTGGTGAATCCACAGTAAGATCACACCCACTTAAACCACACCGTGTCTGCCATGGCACCTTTCCACGCTGCCCGAGTTGCTTTTCTTGCTCAGGTTCTTGCATTTGAAGAACCGCATGCAAGCATCAACAGCATGCATTCCTGAAGCATGGGCTAGCATCACCCACAGCACTGTCTTCTGGGTACCAAGATACTGGCCACGCCCACCTGAAACCCAGTACAGCGATTCGCAGGCTTCGGCTCTAGGTTATCCCAATTTTAATGCCACTCACAGATCATACAGGACTATATTCCCATTGATTATGAGAAGTACTTTTCCTTATTCGCTCACGCAAATATGTCTCTGTATTATTTTTATATTGCATTCTTAAAGAGAATCTAGTTAAAAATAAACACTTATTCCCTAACGTGTAACAATATCTACCAGAAGGATACTTTTCCATCCCAAAACTTGATTTTTGTGTTTCTTAAAAACGGAGTAGCGGGAGGAATCTCGGTTTATCCCAGAGACTGACTCAGTTCAGAGCAGCCCTGCAAATACCTGCATCTTCCCCTAATCTTTTTAGCATGCATAGATAACCTCCGGACCTCAGAGTCAAAAAAGAGAGCAGGGAGAAACAAAAACTTTGTGAGTAATGTAGCTGACAGCTGAATCCTAGATTCCCTGTCCAGTAAATGCCTCCTACTCCCAGGTGGCCACTAGATATTAAAACTGCCATGTTTGATCTCTCTAAGATGCTGCTTGAGCCTGTGCAGAAAGGGAATCCCAAGTAATCCCTGCTGCAGCCTGTAAAAGCAACTGAGATACAGAGATAACGCTGGATTGAGGCCAACCTGAAACAGTTCGATACTAAGTACCGCTACAGTCGTGAATACAGCATTAAATTGTTTGCCTGAAACTGAGCCATCTTCCAGTTGGCTAAACGGAACTCTTTCTTATGAGATAAAACCTTTGGCCACCGGGTGGCGCTGTGCACTGCCTCTGATATGAGTTTAGCAGACTGCTGTGACGCATACCATGGCCACACGTTTCACATTCTGGAGACGAATCAACAAATGTGGTTTCTACAGACATTATCGAGCGGCCAGATTTTGACCTTTGCTGCAGCCTTTTTGTTTAACAAAGAAAAGACACGAGGAGTGTTATATTCACACTGCCTGCTCTGTATAAAGCTCTGCGAGAGCCCAGCGTCCTCACTCTGTACCATGCTCTCGGTGTGGTGCTGCCAGTGGTGGCCCAGTGCTGTGTTTTCTTACGGTACAGCGTGTCCAGACACAGGACCCTGAAAGTGTTTCTGTTGCCAGGTGGGAGGTTGATCCCGATTACTGCGAGGAAGTCAAACAGACACCACCCTATGACAGCGGCACGCGGCTTCTGGACATCATGGACATGACCATCTTCGACTTCCTTATGGGTGGGTTTCCTTTCAGCCATACTGTCTCCCCCAGCACACAGTGGCAAAACCCTCAGGTGACCTGTAGCTGCTCCTTCAAACCTTTACGGCTCTAATTCAGACTGCCACCCTCCTTAAAGTCCCCTCTCATACAAAATTCTTGTGCATTTTATGAAAGAATTACTTTTAAATGCCCAGGCCAGCCCAAACAATCGTAAATTTTATAACTATTTAATCCTGTAGTTAAGTAGATAAGCTAATTGAAAACAGATCTCCAGTTCCAACAAGTGCCAGCAATCTGATTTTCCAAACAAGTCCGGGATGCTGCCTCACAGTACCTTGATCCAGTTCTGCTTTTTTAGGTGTAAAGTTGGACTCAATGCTATAGTGGTCGGTGAGAAAAAAAAAGTATTTCTGCAGCATAAAAATTATGAACACAGAGCAAAAATGCCCCTTAGAGGTTAATTTGTGCATATTATTAAAATCAGGAAAAAACTGGAAGAAATCTTAGCCCCAGACGGAAAATGGGTGTTGTCTTGCCAATCCAGATGCAATTGTTATTTAGCAGATGCCTTTGTCCAAAGTGACTTACATCACATATTCACAATTTGTACAATGATGTAGCATGTTTTCCTGGGTAAATTACACTGTGCCTTTAGTAATTTAATGTACAGAAGGAGACATAACCTACTAGAGTGAGAAATACAGTCCAATCAGTACTTTGTACAGGATGGGAACTGTAGCAGATGAGGAGCAAGATATAATGAAACAATAACAAATAATTAGCCGTGATAATGAGGAGCCTCTGTTGCAGATGTCACGCTGCTCAGAGCTGATGATGAGTTGTGTATTTCAAGGCAGACAGGGCATAAGAACCGCAGGTGCAGTCTGAAACTAGGAGTTTGAGAAGACACTACAATCTCAATACTGTCGTATAATACTGATACCAATAATAGGTGAAAATATTGGTGTCATTAGAGAACCTAATGAGCCCTGCAGATGCTCGGCATCAATTAAAACACTGCCCGAGCTCCCCTGGGTTACTAATTATGGCAGGGCGAGGAGGCGGACTTTAACGGAACCTACACCTTTTTCTAACATTGTTCCTGCAGGAAACATGGACCGCCATCATTACGAAACCTTCGAGAAGTTTGGAAACGAGACCTTTATTATCCACCTGGATAACGGACGAGGGTGAGCACGCTGCCCCCCCCATGTGGTTTCCCATCAGTTTGCTTCTCAAATCCAAGGATTTTTATTTCCCTTTCAAAGGAACGAGGGGCAGACCTACCCCTTCACAGCCTGCCTGCAGCTGGGAACAGATGTATCGTTTCATCTATATTTATGAAGCTTTGAAACCGTCGGCAGATGTTAAATTAATTCAGAACGGGGGCAAGTCAAGCGGCCTGAAGGATATTAAAGCAAGACTCCAGCCCTTAAAGATGCAGACGTTACATTGCTTATTGTTCTGTTTTTCATACTGTCTTCAAATGACATTGCTCCGAATTCATAAAAAGCCAACTGCAGTGCATGTATAATTAATGTCTTTAATTAATTCTGCCCATAGAGTACTAGCTAAAAAGGAAGTTATTTTTCTCAACACGTTTTTGTCTTTTAATTTGTGCACCGATGGTTTGTCTTCAGCCATGAGTCGCTCCAGTGGTCTTCACTACTATGTGTGTGATCCTCACAGGGCGGACTCCTATCGCTTGTTTTTTTTTTTGCTGATCTCCCTTTGCTCTTTATTTCCAAGGTTTGGAAAACATTCCCACGATGAGATCTCCATTCTGGTGCCTTTAAACCAATGCTGCAGGTGGGTCAGATCCCTGCCGTGCCACGCCAAAGTTCACAAACCTGAAACATTCGAAAAAATCCGCGCAAAGCATCATGTCTTATTACAAATTGAAACCCGCTTTTGTTTTGCGGCACTAGGAACACTAGGATGTTTTGTCAGTTTAAAAAACCTAAATCCAGTTGTTCACCTAATGTGACCGAACATTAATGGGCAGCCGTGTGGAGCGTGCACCTGTTATCTGCAGGTGTGTGTTGATGCTCGCGTACCTTCAAAAGAGGGTACTTTTATTCCCAACTGCAAAAATAGAAATAATAATTCCACTTTTTGGGAAATACTACTCAAAGAGCTTCACAGGCACCTCCATCACCAGGACTCTCCTCACACACCAGCTCTCAGTGGGGAGGAGAGCAGCGTGATGAAGCCAGTTCAGACATGGGGATTATTAGGAGGCCGTGATGGATAAAGGCCAGAAATGTGGCCAGGACACCGGGGTAACATCCCTACTCTTTTGCAGAAGCGCCTGTGAGTTGCAGGGCTTACAGCTGCTGGCTTTTGCTGGCAACAGACTTTTAGCTTCAAAGCTAAAGCGTGTTTTGGGATAAATCTATATTTTTTTTAAATCCTGGAACGTCAATTCTCAAGTTGCACAACCCGTCCCCCCCTCTGCTCTTCCCAGGGTGAAGAAATCGACTCACTTGCGCCTCCAGCTGCTGGCCAAGGAGGAGCACAAGCTGAGCGCCCTGATGGAGGAGTCCCTGCTGGGGGACCGGCTGTCCCCCGTGCTCATCCAGCCCCACCTGGAGGCCCTGGACCGCCGGCTGCGGCTCGTGCTGCAGGTGCTGAGCGACTGCATCGAGAGGGAGGGCTACGACAGCGTGGTGGAGGACGACCTCGCGCCCGGCGCCGCGCACACCGCCCACAGCCGGAGGTAGTAGCGCTGGCGGGACGCCCCCCCCGTGCGCTGACACGAGGAGCGCACCAGGAAAGTCTTGCAAAAGACGGTCTTATTTCAGCCACTTTTTGAATTCAGTGAATTCCGAAACCTGTCTAGATCCCCAATCCGTGCAAAGTGTGCGTTTATATATACAAAGGTCCGCGTACATGTATATAAACATGCATAAAGCACGCAGTAGACTGTCTTAATAACTGAACACAAAGGTTTATTGCTTCTATTCGACGGTACATAGGAAGAAGAGGAACTTTTCATCCTGAGGCTTTGTTTGGAGCGCCGGTTTGCTCCAGATCATGGTTTGTTTTTATCCTTTCAAACTCAGTCGCCCATTGAAATTTATTTATTAAGAATGTATTTATTTTTTAAAAAATATCCACCACCACGTCCCTCTCTCCAAGCTGGCCGAAACAGGAAGACGAGAGCGGAGCCGGGGCTGACTTGTCTAACAATCGAATTTCCGTGCGGTTCTCGTCCGCAGAAGAAGGAAGAGGGGAGGCAAAACTGTCTCTTTTTCACAGAGAACAAAAACAGCAACTTTTCTATGCTCTGGGAAGCCTGGATGGCAGCTGAGCTTCAGACTGTGCCGTTAAACACAGCTGTATGGCCTTCAGTCCACCGTCACAGCCCTGTGGTATTAAACCAGCTGCAGAAGCCTGTGGTGACTCCATCGTTTCTCCAGTCTACAGCACACCTGGCGCAGCCCCGTGCAGTAATATGACAGGTGAACAGTCTAGCTGCTGCTGTGTTTTAGTCTCTGGTTTATTAGTATTGATACACCTTCCTTAGGGGAGCAAGGATACAGGAGACAACATGACATTTTTTTTTTCCATCGAACTTAACTTTGCTAGTATTGCTGGTCCAGGTGTTAACGCATTCTCACAGGGAAATGGCTCTGTGCTCGAGTCAGAGACAGAGATCGGCCTTGCTGGCACGAGTCACGCAGAAAAAGAGGGTTTAAACAAAGTGCACTGCAGAGGAGCAGTGCGGGAAACGTTTACAATTTTTTCCACATACTTCACCTCCTGTGAAAGAGGAATGTTTTCCTGCGTCTTCTGAAGCCCATGATTTTATTGACCTGTGGCAGGCACATCACTACAGAAATCGTACAGTGTTAATTTTAAGACTTTTTTGTATTCCTGAAGGACCAATCAGGGCCTGCTCTGGGTAGATGATTCCTTGTACTGGCAGTAATACGAGAGTGTGAATGGTACAGTATGTAAAACTGCTCAACTCATTATAGCACTGTTAGTCCCAATTCATGAGACAAAACGTCCCTTCATATGCTTCATTCTATAGTCTCTGCAGAGTTTTTTAATGTTTTATCTCAACGAATCCTATTTTATCGCTGTGCAGCATCACGGTCAGACTTTGCAAAGCGCTTCTCTCTTGCACAGACGCCCAGGTGCTGTGCTTTTTCTTTGAGGTGGAAAGGTGGGAATGGTGCCCGAACAAAGCCTTAGAATGGAATAGGGTTTGTTCCTTGTGTGAGGGGCCCTGGCACACGGAGAGCCCAGATTCCGCACCTTAGATCCTCCGAGACGTCCGATACGCCATGCCTGTGATGAGCAGTATTCTCCTGTGCTGGTTTCTGGGGTCTCTGCTGCACAGGTCCGAATGGGACCTGGGAGCACTGGGATTTCCGCATCAATCCGGGCTTCCCTCTTGATGCAGAGTATAGTTAGTAGAGTTAGTGTAGCGTGTCCTGCTGCCCCAAAGAGCAGATCAACTTCATAAGCATTAAGGCAAACATTCAGATTCGGATCAGCTGTACCAACTTCAGTACAGCTTGGAAAGAAAGCTGTTCAGTTGTTTTTCACCTTTCAATGGACTCTTTTGCATTGCAAAGTAAAATACAGACTTCATTTCTTTAAACCATTAGTGAACTTCTCAGGAAAATCTGGAAAACACCAGTGTCACCTGTGATTTCAAGCAGTTTGTCGCCCATTTTCTCTCACTTTGACCACATGTAGGCGACACTCCAGGGCAGGGCAGTGCTGTAACTGGGGATAAGCTCTCCGTGACACTGTCAGTCTGGGCTATTCCCATAACAGTGTGCCCACCTTTAAAACGAACTTTTAAACCTGTAACATGCTGAAATAAAACACATTCTTATTCTGAGGTTGGTCTTCTTCGGTGAAGAAAACTAAATTCATTTTGTATTGAGTATCGCTGAGTATTTTTTCATGTAACTGATCCAGCTGCAAGCAGCTCCCTCAACAGTAAATGTGTCATGGATATGATTAACATAACCGAATATGTTAATTTGTCATTATCTGCTTTGCTCCTTTTGGCGTGAAGATGTTTCCACCCATTAAAAACCATTAATTCTAAATTCTACTACGTGTTACCAAAAATGTGATTATATGAGCTCCAGTCCAACTGTAAAAGCTAATGAATGTGAGCTTTAGGAAAAATCAGCTGGCTACAATGCCTTCCCAGTTCAAAGGCTGTTGATACTATTATACTGTATATACTCTGTATATACCATCGGGTCCAGCTCAGTAGTAGTGTGCAGGTTAAGGTGAAGGTACAAGAAAAAAAAGCTTATTCCAAAATACTGATTTCACACCACCGCTTTCCCATCCCAGAATGCAATTAAATCTGAATAGACACAAATGTCACTGTGCATGCTCCTGACAGCTGGGGCTGTGCACCATTCTCTCACCGGAAGAACCATATTGGGAAGCCAATGCAAGAGGAGCTGGCTAGCTGGCAGTACCCGACAGCAGACTGCTGGAAAGTTATATGGAAAATTGGAAACTCCCTGATTATCCCAACCTGCCACATAAAAGCAGCTCATATAGCAAGGTGTGCCATCTGCTCACAGACACTTGCACTGGCTGCGGCTGCTGCACTGTTGGTGTAACACCAGCACAGGCACTGGCGCAATGCCAGTTTGGCCACTGGACCAAGGGGACCCTGCACGAGCTCAGGCAGGCAGGGTGGTGTTTGGATGTTGGCCCATGGGCTGATGGCTGACCAACACCTCATCGACCTCGGCATGCTGTCTGACTGATCTAATCAAAGCATACACATGACTGCCCTGGACGTTAAATCTAGAAGACACTTGCCCTGGTTATACTTTTATGTTGTGTTTTTTAAAATCTTTTTTTTTTTTACAATGCAATGTTATTTATTGAACTCTAAGGGAGAATTTAACTGAAAAGGGGGAGATGTATTTTTTTTTCTCTGTTACCGTTTAATTCTTAGGATGATGTCACTGGAGAGGTTAAAGATAGATGGGTGTACATTTCTTTATTGTTGAACAGTAGAGTGCAATGCTAAAAGCAATTATTTAAAAAACTGAACATTAATAAATTAAAACATAAAAGTTAACCCAGTGCCTGTGCAATGACAGAAATACTTGAATGTTTGGGTTCACTAAAAAAAGTGAAAAAAGAAATTCTTTATACCTGGATTAAAAAGGAGGTTGAGGGGGAGTGGAGTACTGGAACTTCTGATCTCCCTTCTAAGCTGTGGTAGCAGAGTTGCTACTAGATGTTTTTTTTTCTGTTGGATTTTCATAGTTCACTGTAAATAACTATAAATACTTTGACAATATAAAGAGCTGTTTTCTGCAGCTGTAGGCTTCCGTTTCTTTTTGCATTGTTTCTGTGGAATTTGTTTGCAACATGGTACAAGTGCAATAAACAAAAATATGGCAGATGTCTCTGTTTTTTTCTGTAGAAGGGGAGGTGGGAGGTCATATTAATTATCGCAACTTACAGCAGCTTCACTAATAATAATTACACTGCACCAAGAAACTCTGCAGTGACATGGTGATTAGTAACTTTCAATTAACAAAAATAATGATGGATGGCGAATGTACTTTACACAACCCCGCTATTCACAGCAGCTCTTTAATGCCATGAAAACGTCTTCTGTTCCTATCAAAAAAGATTCCTAAGAATGGGATCCCCCCGTTTTCAATGAGAAACAGGTCTGAGGGGAATGTTCTTACATTGCCCAAAGTGCAGAACTTCATTTCAAGGAATCTCTTCTCTACCAGTATAAGGATGTTCAACAGAGAGAAGGGTTAAATGTTTCATTTCTGTGCAATTATATCCAAAGAAAAATAAGAGTGGGCTACTACCTATTTCTTATTGCAGTACAACACTGTTCCCCTTACAGCTGACTTGAGTCTACTGACCTGTGACAAAATGAGATCCCTCACCACACATTAAGGCCGAGGTTGTCAGGCATTAAACAGCTTCCTCACTAGCACTGCAGTGCTTTGGCTTAATTCTGTTTTGCCGCATTCTTGGCCCAGGCTGAAAACATCCTCCTTCCCACATTTTGCCCCACATTTTAGCTGTGATCTAACATTGCTGTTTCTCCAGCAAATTCAAGGACATATTAAATCTCCTTCAAACCTGTTGCTGACTAATGCAAGTCAGGGCAGCGTGCACATTTCCACCACTGCACCTGTACCCTTACAGCCTACAACGCAGCACATGGTTCAACAATCCAACTCCGGAGCCTCTCAGCTGCAGAATGGCACCGCGTCCCTGAGGATCAGCCAGATTTACTACACAACATACACACTTCCCCCAAAATGTGCACCCACACCATCAAATGGCTTTGACAAGGAACTAAAAGATAAGCTTTAAAAAAGGCAAAATGCCATTCTCCAGATAACATTTAGCGATATTAGTAATTACAATGTCGGAGACACACGACATCAGCAGGATATTCTCATGTGTTATCACTATAGAGAATGCTCTGATAACAGTTTACTGAATTAATCTGGAATTCAGATTCACCCATGAGGAATGACATGAAATGGCCACCAGCGATGATCATGGACTCGACTGCCACTGCAAGCCTCAGAATGACTGCAAACAAATGGAGACCGCTGGCCATGTGGCCCAACTAACCCGCTGATCCAAGGGTTTAATCCAGCCCTTTCTTGTGGGCCAGGATATCAGCCTCAACTTTCACTTCACACTAGGGAAGCATCTCTCTTAACCTGTAGTTTCCCCTTTCCTTGTTCTTTACACAAAGGATTGTGGGAATAGAGAACAAGCTACCCAGCCATTTTGTTGAAGTCAATGGCCTGGCCTCTTTCAAGAAATAGTTTGAAAGGATGAGATCCTTGGCATCAATAAGTCACTAACTACCAAAAGGGGTTGATGGGGCTTCCTCTCATTCATTGCCTTCCTTGTGTTCTTGTTGAAGGAGCTCTTTGATGCAGCAATAAGAGCTGATGGAAAGATCAGTGGTTTGTGGCTCCTGAGAAGCGACACAGCTCCTGACATTCAGCCAGTATGTCTATGACTCTGCATTATTTGGGGGGAGGTAGATAAAGAGTTAGAGCATTTCTAGGTGACTGAGAAGTAGGCCTAAACCTATGGGTCCACAATAAATCTCTCCAAAACAACCCCCACACACACACCTTCAGGCACAGCGATATATCAGGAACTACCCAGATTCAATCTCTCAAATTTCAGATTATTCCATAAAATCACTTGTATTACTGAAGGAATCTCACGCTACCTAATTAAATTGGCACAGAACGGCCTGGCACCACAGAAGGGTTTTATACGGGCGAACTGGGACATGTGCTGTCAGTGAGAGGGTGGCACGCCCCTGCAGAAGGATCCCAGCTCCGAGCGCTGGGAGTGAGGACGGGCAGGCTCGTGACATCAGCCCTCGCATGGCAGGAACAAGTCTGAACCGTGATTTCACCCCGCCTTCACTGCCCACGAACACCTCAGATAAATCTTTAAACACAGAGAAGGTGCGTTTCTCTCATGCGTGCCTCTTGCACAAGGCTGCACAATCACTGTGTGGTGTGTAACAGCCTGCCTGTCCAGCCACGCCTCGGATCTCACAACTCCGACACGTACAGCTGGGAGGGGAGTCTGTCCACCAGGAGGGCCAGCACTGAGCTGGACCGTCTTGCAAAACTGTAAAGGCCCTTGTAACTCCAGGTGAAGACCTACAGTAGATATAAGTGTCCGATTCCGCCAATGACTGGTGGGGCTGAAGTGTCTGAGGGGCCAGGCAGCACACAACGCAGGCTTGCCGCCCTGGTCGCTCTGGTTACGGCAGGGGGTCTGTCCGGTGAAGAGCGACGCTGTCCTCTGCACCACAGAAGCCCAGGAGCTGGACCAGCAGGACCAGCAGGACCACTGGGGGCTAAAGAAGCAAAGTCCCCTTCGCTCAGCCCTTCTTCAGATCCACCTCTAGCAGCCGGACACAAGCTTTGCCGGACAAAGCGTGTCCCGGTTAGAAAGAACAAGCCAGGAATTTTGCCAAAAAAAAAAAAGCTAATGACTGGCCATGACCCTGTGCCTCAGTCCCCTGTGCCTGTAGACCCAGCAGCGCCAGGTCCCCAGCTCTCTGCACTCCGGACGCGGTGCAGATTGAAAACTGCCCCACGTGATGGCGCTCTCCCTCGCCGCGCTGCACACTGGGAGATATTTGCCTCCTCGTCACAGACTGTCATCGCCGTCCGGCGAGACATCGCGCTCCGCGACACAAGTGTCATCATACGGTCGTTTGGCGCCATCTAGTGGCGCTTTCCTGGCCTGGACTTCACATGGTCCAGCCTGCAGTTGTGAGCTATACATCCTAACAAATATCCCCGTTGTCTGTCTAACTCACCGACACAGCTTAACTAAGTCAGTATATACCCTGAGGATTTTCTCCCGCGAAGGCGAGGGCTCTCTCTTCTTCATTCAGGGGTATTTATTTACCTGTGTAAATAAACTGGGAACCCAGCTACTATAAAAGTGATCCAAACAGCCCTAATTTAATTAAAACGAGACCCGCAGTCAGACATCGAAGTACAAGGTGTTACAACAGACTACACTGACCTTAATTACCATCTTGAAAGTAATAATAATAATAATAATAATAATAATAATAATAATAATAA